GATGGCCATAGGGGAGAGATGGCCACTGCGATTTAAAGAATCTTACGTTAAGATATTTTGCTTTTACGCCAGTCGACAGTAGTTATCAAGCGAGTGCAGTTGTTTGTATGAGTTACGGTGCGAAAGAACATATTTTACAGAAATTAGAAGACTTTTTCAATTATTCATCCTGAAAATATTTTACCGTAAGTACAGACGAGGCATATTTTCTGATTTTGTGATATAATCCCAGCCATGTAAAGTTAAAATTTGCTTATTGTGATTTATAATGATGCAACTTATTGTGATTTATAATGATGCAACATAACCTACAAAAACGGTTGTAACTATGCGCGCTAATTGGGGTGGGCCATCTGTCCCGAACATTTGGGATAGATGGCCAACATTTTTCCGGGAAAGATGGCCACAAGTGCTTTGTGGGAATCTAACATGCCAGCGATCTCTAACGAGTACTATCTATTTATAAAGCATTCTTTGCAGATGCCGAATAAATACGTTAGAAAATCTGTCAATATTCGTGGAAACTGGTCTGAAGAAAATTTAATAAACGCTGTGAATAATGTTAGTAATGGCAATATGTCTGTTCGGAGAGCTTCGTTGACATTTAATATACCACGTAAAACTTTAGAACGTCGAGTAAAAACAGGAAACACTGTGAAAGGATCAATGGGACCAGGCTGTAATTTTGGAAAGGAAAATGAAGATCGACTTTCTAGATATATTTTAAACATGCAGAGCAGAGGTTTTCCATTAACTCGCGACGATTTGAGAACCATTGCTTTTCAATTTGCCGAACAAATGAATATTAAACACAGATTTAATAAAGAAGTCGGAAAAGCTGGTTACGATTGGCTTTGTTTATTTTTAAGCCGAAACCCACAAATTAGTGTACGAAAATCAGAAGGAGTTTCCTTAGCGAGAACAACCGCAATGAATAGAAAAGAAGTGGACGAATATTTTGGCTTGTTGGAACAAATTATGACAGACTACTCTTTGTTTGAAAAACCGGCGAATATTTTTAATATTGACGAGACAGGCCTACAGCTCAATAATAGACCAGGAGAAGTACTTGCAAAAAAAGGGTCTAAGGCGGTGTCCACTATAACTTCCACGGAAAAGGGAGAAACGATAACATTGGTTGCTTGTTGCAATGCAGAGGGGAGTTTTGTACCTCCAGCTATAATAATGAAGGGAAAAAATAAAAAAAAAGAATGGGAGGATGCATTGCCTCCAGGCTCTGTTTTGTACATGTCGGAAAAGTCCGCATACATTAATGCCACACTTTTTCTCCAATGGATCCGTGACCATTTTATGCCCAGAAAACCTTTAGGGTACGTTCTCTTAATACTGGATGGTCATGCCTCTCATGTGAATTCGGTGGAAATGCTGGAGTTTGCAGAATCACATCAAATAATCCTTTTATGTTTACCCAGTCATACAACCCACTACCTACAACCACTGGATCGCAGTTTTTTTAAATCCTTAAAAGCTCATTTTTACGAATCTTGTCGCTTGTGGCTGAAGACCCATGCGGGGCGACGCATCACTCGCTACCAATTTGGCGAATTATTAACTCTAACCTGGGGCAAAGCGGCTACCACACAGAATGGTTCATCTGGATTTAAAGCAGCAGGTATCTTCCCTTTCAATCGCCATGCAATACCTGACTACGCCTTTGCTGTCGAAGAATCTATCGCAAAAAATACCGAGACCGAAATTACTCGAGACAAAGAAAAACCCGAAGAAAAAGCAATGGAAGTAGCTGACGAGGAAGTGCAACCGTTGCCATGCTCTTCTAAAGAAGACACAATTACACCATCAAAACTATTATACGATATGTCTCCGTCTGTGCCCGAAAAAGTTGTAGTAGCTAGGAAACGATCTAAACAATTGGCATCTGTTTTAACCTCCCCAGAGCATTTACAAGTACGAAGAGAAAAAGAAAATAAATTAAAAGAAATTGAAAATAGAAAAAGAAACCTTAAAGGAAAGGAGAATAGAAGGCCCATAAAGAGTAAGAAGAAGAAAGGTGAACCCCAAGATGTATCTTCAAGTAGTGAGGAAGATATTAATATGATTCTTGAGAGCGAAGATAGCGGAGATGAGGATTTAACTGAAAATTTATGCATTGGTTGTGGAGAAGATTATAATCATACCAAAAAGGCAGTGGACTGGATCAAATGCGTAAATTGTTTAAGGTGGCTGCACGAGACTTGTACTACTTACGGGGACTTCTGTCAAAAATGGGGCAAACTTGACTTAATTACTCTTAAAGGGAAGAAGAAGAAGTAACTTGCATGGCCATTTCACCCAGATACCCATGGCCATCTCTCCCAAAAACATATGGGTGAGATGGCCATAGTGAGATTTTTTAAAGAATTTTTTTTATGTTTTTGTGCAATGTTTTCGTTAGCATTATATTATTGAATTAGTAGAACTAAAGTTGTTTTAACGTTGTATAAATAAATACCTTCAAAAATACTTCATTATGTACTATTTTCATAAGATTTGAAAAACTATGGCCAACTACCCCGGACTTACCCTAATTTTTATTCACTTGATACGCGTCGTTGCAGACGGGATTCGTGGGTTTAAACAAAATTCTGATCAAGGGTCAGCCACACATCGCCGCCTGAGATCGCTCCGTGTGCACCGCCGGCCGGTTGGGTTGCCTACCTACAGGCGCGAAATTCCAGAAGGTAAATTTGGCTCTGGCACCTTATTTAGATTTCCGACCCCAAGTGACCTATATCAAAATACTCCCCTACGCACCACCCACACGCTCCCAAACGGTGGCAGGTACTATAGGAATCACCCTGTATAAATGCAGGTAACAAAATTTATACCAAACAAAAGAAAAACGATGAAGTCGATGGTCCAGTAATTCAATCGCATAAAAATGTTTTATTTACGGGTAGCGAGATAAATACATCGTGTCGTACTACTATAAATGAAAACAACCCTTCTTCGTCTAAGGGCACCTATTGTGAAATGGCCTCGCAAATCGATTTACAATATTCATATTCTGATGATTCACACCTTGAATCCGTTACAAGTGAAACCGATTCAGTTACTGTAGATCTAGATAGAGCAGGTGCTGATGTAGACACATCAACAATTGCAAAAAGGTTCAACTTGAAGTTATTGACAGAAAACTTATCGGAATGGATTGTCACGGAAAATATTACACACACTTCAGCATCCAAATTGTTAAAAATGTTAAAACATTGTGGATGTGAACACCTTCAAACTTTACCTTCTGATGCTCGAACGTTATTAAAAACACCTCGTGTAACTAGAGTTGATGTGATACAACCAGGAACGTTTTTCTATTTTGGCATAAAAGACACCATTAATGAATTTTTTTCTAAAAATAATTGTTTCGGACTGCTATCTGACACATCTGTTATTGAATTGGCAGTAAACGTAGATGGACTTCCATTAAGTAAAAGCAGCAATTCATCATTTTGGCCTATTTTAGGTGTTGTAAAGTCGTTGTCTACAGTAAAAGATAAGGTTCTTTTGTTTGGTCTTTATCACGGCTATCAAAAACCTGAAAATTCAAATGAATTTTTAAAGCAATTTGTTGAGGAAGCATCAGCATTAATCGATAATGGTATTGAAATCAATGGACACCACTTGGATTTTAAAGTGAAAATGCTTATTTGCGATTTGCCTGCTAGGTCTTATGTTTTACGTGTTAAAGGCCATTCTGGACATTTTTCATGTAATAGGTGCACACAAGAAGGAGATATGATTAATAATAGAATGTGTTTTCCGGAGTTGCATTTTACAAAACGCACCGACAACAGCTTTAGAAATCGAGCACAGCCCCAGCACCATCATAATGAACCCACTATATTGTTAAACCTGCCATCATTTGACATAATACAAGACGTGCCTTTGGACTACATGCACCTATTATGTTTAGGTGTAATGAAGCGTGTATTAGCAGACACAAAGTTTGGATTGGTTTTGGGAAAACCTGGATATAAATTACCAGCTAGAGATGTTTTAGCTATTTCAAATTTAGTTTTAAAATTAAAGAAATATGTCCCATGTGAGTTTTCCAGGAAAACTCGACCCTTACTTGAAGTGAAACGTTACAAAGCCACTGAATTTAGGTTTTTCTTATTGTATGCATTGCCAGTTGTCTTAAGGAATGTAATGAAAAAAAATAAGTTTTACAAAAATATTTTAAAATTGCATGTTGCATCCTCAATTTTAGTGAGTCCTAACCTTTGCTCTGATCAGAATTATCAGGAAACTGCGAAAGAATTGCTGTATAGTTTTGTCAAACAAAGCAAAAAGTTATATGGTGCTGATTTTATTTCACATAATGTACACTGTCTTTTGCATTTGGTGGATGACACGAATCGGTTTGGCCCACTTGATAACTTTAGTGCATTCCCCTTCGAAAATTACATGAAAACACTTAAGAGAATGGTTAGAAAAACTCACCAACCACTGCAACAAGTGGTAAGAAGATCGCAAGAGTCTTGGCATTCAAGAAATACTGCACCAGACACTGGTGAAGAACAAAATTCACGTAATGAAGAATGTTCTGTGAGAACTCTAGAATGGATAATCAAAACTAATAATGCAGATTGCTATTTTGAATTAGAGTCTGGTGAAATAGGCAAAGCAAAATGCATATTCTTCCAACAAAATAAAAAAATTGTTACTGCAAATTTTTTTAAAACTAAACAAAGTTTTTACACTGTTCCGTTGGATTCATCTGCGTTAGGAATCTTTCTATGTTCAGATTTGTCTATCGAAGATCAACTTATTGATTCACAATATATAAAGTGTAAAGTAATGCTGTTACCTTTTGATCAGAAATTTGTTTCATTTCGTATGTTACATACCATATAATTTAAAAAATTAAGAACAATAAAAAAATATAGTTAAAAAATAAGTTAAAAGAGATTAGTAATAGAATAAATATTAAAAAAAGATAGGAATTAAACAATTAAAATTATTAAAAATATATGTATTAACAAAAAATGATAAAGAATTAAAAAATAAGATAATACTGCTTATTTAATCAAAAATATACAAAAAAAAACGCAAACAAATAAAATAAAGCAATTGTTATATGCTTATTTTTAGGTTATGGATTCATATTTAGTAGTAAATTTCATCGACGAGAACCTTATAGAAGTGGTTCCGGCAAGTTGGAATAAAAAAAACACTAAAGTGTGTTATTTTCCATCAAAGGGGAACCATGTTACTCAAAACACTTTTTAAAAAATGGTACAACATTGTGAACCACCGAATACAGAATGGGATTTATTTGACATCGACATTTTGGGATCTTATGGTTAGTAAGTAATTTACACTATAGGTATAAAGTATTAATATTTTTAGATAACTTTGAAAAAGCAAACAAAAAAGCCACTAAAGCGCAACATACCAATAACTTAGCTTCGTCACAAAGCGAAAGTGAACAAAGCAAACGAAAGTCAAAAGCAAATCCCAAATATGCAAATGAGTACGCTTATAACTCTTCGTCAGATTCAAACAATTTAGATCGTGAAACATCTCCAGACAGCGATTCATCACTGCACGTACCTCAGCTACATACAGCTTCTCTTCCACCTAAAGTACAAAAAAAAGGTAAACATTCTGTAGCTATTGTACATTTATATTAAAGTTTTACATTCTTAGGATTACAGTTTAGAGAAACTGCAACATTGTCTCCGATATACATACACTCCACGCACCATCTCGAATGAAGGTAAGCTTTCATATACCCGTCCACAGAGGTAATTTAAAATTTGTAGGTAAAAGTTATAAACCAAGTTGTGTATCATTACAAAAATCAACGGATTATGATGGATGTGCTTTTGATGTGAACCAGAAAAAAGGTATTTTCTTAAGAAATATTGAAACATGCACTAATTATTATTGTATTTTAGGTCGCTCTGTGGTTGATCTTTCTTGTACTTCACTTGACCGAATGCAAGACAAAATTTCACTATCTCGTGACCGTGAATCATTGCAAGGATCACCAAGTAGTGGAAGACGTGCCACAAATAAAAAAAAAGAAGGTATTGTAAGGTGGATTGTGCAGGTATATAGGTATGACCACCCAATGTTTTAGATTCATCTATGGTAGATTTTTCGCATGAAGGTTTCACAGGAAGTGATGACAAACGTAATTACTTAACTTTCAGTGAATTTTTTGTTTACTAAACAAGCATTTTTAGGTTTCCAGAAGTTGGTTATCAATGAATTATTTTCAATCAAAAATATGTTGTCATCATTAACTGAAAAAGTTGAACAGCTAACAATTGCAGGCGGCAACCAAACAAAATCCGTGGAGGAAGTTGATGCTTTGAGAAATATAATGGGACTTATTCCTATTTCTTTTGACAAGGACTTACAAACCATCGAAAAGGCTTTATCTTCGGAAGAAACTATGCAGTTATTTGTAAGTTGCTTGTATGTATAAATAAAGTAGTACATAATTAATATGTTACAGGCAACTGAATTGAGCTTAATAGGTGGTAACGAGGCCAAAACAATGACAAAAAAATTATGTATCGGCTATTTTCCAACGAAATTGGCCAAAATTTTAGTTTCGAAGGGGCTAAAGGAAAAGAAGTGTTCAAAAATTTATTCATTTATAAAGCAATTGTTCGTAAGTATGAAAGTTGATCGTTGTGCAATATGATTCCTTATCCCTTTTAGGAGCTGTTCGTTTAAATAAAAAAACAAGTAATGCCACCGAAGCAGAAATAATTCCCAAAATAAAAGACTGGTTGGCGAAGGCCAAAGAGAGACACACAAATCAAAAAAGAAGAATTGAATCTAAAAAATCGTAAGAATATTTTATTTACTAAGTTAAGTACTAAATATCCATTTTTAAGGGGTCCTGAAAATGATGAAGTTTGAAACAACTGATACAATAATGAAAATAGTCATATTATACAATAGTTTAAGGCATGTACAATTTAAGTAATGTGGTAATAAATTGCATTTGAGGTTAAAAAACACACAGGAAGTGCAGTCGAGCTAATAGGGTTTTATTTTTCTGTATAGGCTATCGATTTCGGTACGTTAAGCAATACCATCTTCAGGCCGTAGCTGTAATACTTATAATTATGGTTATTGTTTATAAAATAAAATAGTTTACCGTCATTAGTACAAGATACAATATAAGAAGTAGGTGAATGAAACATTGTGTGGGAGATGTTAGAAATATGTAGCTTGGATGATCACAATCAGCAGAAATCATAAAGGTGAATGAAAACACTGAAATATAATTAATTTAGTAATTGTAGATATTAGGTTGTGCGTGTTTACTATTTTGAGAGTAAATTACCTGTGTTGATGTCTAAAAGGTGGATGTAAGCATGTATGGTTGAAGTGTCGAATTGTAGGTTATGTGAACTGAAATATTTTATGTCAAGTTGTAGAAGAGATTTATGCATTGGCGTGCTGTTTATGTGGGGTCTGTAGGGGAGTGGGCGTGTATGTGTGGTTGCGTGTCTTTGTTATTGAAGGGGTGTAGGCGTTTGTATAGGTGTTGTTCTGGAAAGAAAGTGATTTCGTTGAGGAGGTTGTGGTTGGGTTGTTTGATGGCTTTGTGGATCTCTAAATGTTCTAAAATTTTTAATTGGTTATAATTATTTGAAGTTTGTAATATTTTTGCCTTGTCTATGGAAATGGAGTGTTGTGAATCTTTTATGTGGGTACCTATGGCTGATTTTGGTTGGTTTTTGGAGTGTTCTTTAAATCGGGTACCCAGACTTCGTGTTGTTAGTCCTATGTAATGGCTAATTCGTTCGTTATTAATAAGGCAAGGGTTCTCGACACAAAACTGTATGTGTTAGAGCCACCCACTCTTGAAAGCTCCATAACCTAAAAAAGTATATATTTTCTAAACAATTTAGAGATAAAGACAAAAGGTACAGTAATTAAAAATATTCAACTGGTTTTCACTGATTTATCATCTTCACGAAACTTCAAGTATAGATTTAATCTTCTGATGATGATAATCAAGGTAGCGAAACAAGTGTAGAGATTAAAACAGTGTTTTGGTAAACTATAGTAATTTGGTTTTTGGTTTTAAAAGGTATAGGTATAGAAAAAATTAAAAGTAAAAAATGGGCAATTTGGGGGGTTTATTTTTAGATTGGTTGTGACAGCTAAGAGATTAACAAATTGTATGAAAAGAAACTTGTGTATTTGGTGCAAAGTAAATAAGCTGTGCAAACTAAGATCATGCAGGAAATTCGTTGTATGTAAACACCCCATAAAAACTTACAGCATTTTTGAAGTTGTCCTCATCTTCTAAGGAAGTATTGAAGATTTTTATCTCCTCTTCCGAATTTAGGGGAAATTGACAACCCAGTTCAGTAAAAAAGCTTGTGGGTGCCTCATCTGGGGTTCGCTCTGCTTTGCTGAGGGATTGTTTTATGGATCTCACCTCTCCAAGGATGTCCGTCGCCATACTCCTTAAAATGTGGTATTACTGCATTAACTGTTTGTTTGTCCTATCTAAGGCCCTATCTAAAAAAAACAAAACTGTACTTTCTACATTATTAGCAAAAAAATTATACCCTTCTCCAAACAGTCTTTGCAGCGACAATTCTTACAAGTATTATTATTTTCCGCTTCTAGGTAGTTATCATTAATGTCATCATGCATATTTTCAATATTTTCAAAAAAACTATTATCTGTCGCCTCGTGTACTCCATTTCCCAAGTCATTTCCTAAAAAAAAATTAGATCATTATAAAGATCAAGTGCCATAGATCATATATTACAATTTAACATGTAAGTAAACTAGAAAAAATGAAAAAGAACTTACTTACCGGGTGTTATATGTACTTCCTTAAATGTTGAAGTCGAGGTTGAAGTCTTCTTTTTTGCTTTATATTTCGAAATAGAAGGAGGGGGTGGCAAAATAGTATCATCTATTGACTCCTCACTACTCGATAGAATTTTTTGGATTCTTTTCCTTTTGACTTCAACATCCTCTGGTTCTGTATTGATATCACTGGTGTTTTCTGCAATTCTTGCTTTGTTTCTCGCTTTTAAATAATCCCCTACAATAAGTTAAAATTACAAAAGATACTAAATACAAAAATTATAACTTACCATAAGTTGCATTCCTAAAAATTTTAATTTTATGAGTTGGCCAACATGTGTTCAGTGGTTCGGATTTTCTGATAGCATTATGTAATTTTTCCATTGAAAAAGAGGGCCAATGGCACTCATTGCCTTGAATCCATGTGGACGGAATTGCCTCCACCGTCAAATCGTCCAAAAATTGGACAACTGTCCAGGTTTTTGAATTCATTTTGAACTTTAAAAAAATGTTCACTTTGAAGATAGACAATAAATTTGTTATGTACCTTACATTTAAAGTAAAAATGACAAAATACTATCAAATGTCTTATCCAATCTAAACTTACATACACAAAAAACCAAACTATACCTAAGTACCTATATGTCTAAAGCTGATAAGTAAATATTGTATCAGTAAAAAAAAAAAAATTAGCCATGTAAAAATGGCATTATAACATTCTGACCTTCATATTTTAATTTCATACACTTGTAATCAATATCTGAAACTTTGAAGTGTTGCGAAGAACCTAAGTTACTGTCACAAACTTTAAATATGTTAATATCAGCTGATTCACAAGGTCTATCAAAAAAAGAATTCTTGCACAAATATTGTTTGCCTACCACCTCTAGGCACCTATTTATTTTAATAATACTAGTGATATTAATTATCTCACCATTTTTCAAGCAGCAACAATTATCAGGAAAATTAATTTTTAAAACAAAATTTTGAAATACTAAAGATTTAAAGTGTTCCATTTTATCAATGCCCAATAACAGCTGATCTTTAGCTAATGGAAATGTAGTAATATCTTCTTTATTATTTTGAACACTTGACATTTTTTCCAAATATCGTTTAACAATTTGTTGTAGCGGCTTATGACTTTTACGTACATACTTTAAGATACTTTGCATAAAATTTTCAAAGTCAAATGCACTAAAATTATCGACACGTCCATGAAGTCTCACATCTTCAGGCAAATGCAATAAATTATGAACATTATGAGATGTATTTTCAATCCCGTATATTGTCTGAAAAGTTTTTACAAAGTATTTTAAAAGGTCCAAAGCATACAGTATAAGGTGTTGAAAATGTTCACTTGCTAAAATTGTCATACCTACATGTAACGAAATGAAATTTAGGTACCGGTCTGTACTTAAAAATTTTTTTAAGACTAGTGGGCCTGTATAAAATAGCATTTGGCGAAATTCTGTAGCTTTCCACATTTTTATTTCATTGATAGACCTTGGTTTTCGATTGAATTCCTCTGGGATACATTCCCGTATGTCTATTAGTGACTGTGAAATGCCATTAATTGCAGCCGCAGACAACTTTGTTTGAGGTTTTCCAAAGCACCATAAATATAAAAGTTTCTTCATCACTCCAAGGCACACCAAGTGCATGTAGTCCAGAGGAAAACTGGTGATCATATTTAAATGAGGAATTTCCTCTAAAATTGATATACCATTTTGATGTTCATCATCCTGATCATGCAACCTAAATTGTTCATCAGTTCTTAACCGGAGGTTTTCAATATCAGGAAAATAAACTTTGGCTAGGTATTGGCCTTCAATTTGACATTTGGTACATGAAAAATACCCTGTATGACCCTTTATACATTTAATGAAAGATTTTGCAGGAGCATCACATACAATACATTTTATTCTTATTAAATATTTGTTGTTATCTATTGTTATACCATTATTAATAACTTCAATAGCATCCTGCACAAACCTTTTTAAAAAAAGATTGGCATCCTTTGGCTTTTCATAGCCATGATAAATGCCAACCATCCTTACACATTTGTGTCCAAAAATTGATATAAGGATAGGATACACTTGGCTGTGTGAACTTTTTGCTAAAGGTAGACCGTCAATATTAAGAAGTAAGCTTATTTGGTCTGAGTTTTTAAATCTGTGCGTTCCTACACATTTAAAAATATTATGAATGGCTGCCGATAAACCAAAATGATAGTATTCACCTGGGTGAACACATTCCGTCGAAACATTTCTTGTTGTATTAAGTAACGTTCGAGCATCCAAGGGTAAAGGTTCATTAATGTGATCATGCAAAAGTTTAAGTAGATCTGTAGTGGCTACGTTTGAAATATTGTATTTTAATGCCCAGTTTGCTAACTTAAATTTTATATGTTTCTCGGCTTCATTATTATCAGTATCGGAACTCTCAGATTCAAATTCAGAGAATGGTGGTTGCAAATTAAGTTCTACTGGAACATCTTCAATAAATTCGGAATCCTCATTCTCGCTCTCACATAAAACAGATTGTGATTGTAATAGGTTAAGAGTTAATGTGCTATTTATTTCCACCACATCGGCAGCTTTCATACTACTACTCTCGCTACTACTACAAGCCTCATTATTATAATGAAAACAGCTTAAAGGTGTAGAATGTGATTCTTCATTGTTAGGCTTGGCTCTTTTAGCCTGCATATAGTATTTTTGTAAATTACTTCGCGACATTGTAATGCTTAAAACTAAAAAACGCAGTGGCTAACCTAAAAATCGTATATCAACGAACCTAACCAATATTCTATCCTAAAACACTACACAAAAAGTCAAAATCACGCCGTCGGTTTCCGCAGCTGTAATTTAATTTATTTTCAAAACCAAGCTTGCTAAATTACCTTTAATTCGCACAATATAAACTGTAACGCACACACAATGGACTAATCACTAATGGATGTGGTTAGAAACACAGAAAAGGGAAAAACTGACAGCCGGCGTCGACAGTATCAGTCCGTTTACAAGAGTTGTTGTATCCTTTTTTAACTTAATATGTAATGATGTAGAGGACAAAGATACCCGAGATCATCGTAATGTAGAGCGTCCAACCAGTGGTCTAGGGGCTAGCATACTAGGCTTGCACCCAGGCGGTCCGGGTTCGATTCTTTCGTACGACGAAAAATTTTTTCACAAA